CACCTCTCAAACCTAGTAGCCTATGATAATGCCTTAAGTACGACCGAAATGCACCGCTCTAGTAGACCTAACCCTGATGCTGGTGTACCAATGAACATACTCAAGACAAGTCTAATTCCGGCCTTTAATTGAACCTCCGCCACAATTCCAGTGGTTTCTTTAAGTAACAATACAGCGACCAGCACTGTCATATTATGTGCCAATCACCACCTTCAAAAAAGAGGGATTCCGGAGGTTTCCAAAACTGTCAAAAGTTATGACTTCCGAGGCTCGAGTCCGAAGCAGTGCCTTTCCTAAAATTGCACCTTTTGGAACAACATACAGCTCCTTTATACTGTACTAGTCATAATGAGCTTTGCAGCTATTTTGCCGACATATTAAACGCTAAGGGAAGTGGTCAATTCGAGGCCGGTTTTGCAGATGCACTTCCAATCGACTTCAACCTATGAGTCGAACTTCTAAGCGAGCACGTGACGGCGCTCAGGACGCGCTCTCTAATGCGAGTCAGCCCTCAAGCGTAGAGGCTCAAGGGCGTTACGTACTCCGCTAAAGTCGCAGCTCTGTCATGAAGCCTATCGACCGATTCTTGATGGGGCCCAATTCAGCCATCATGGATGCAGCTCTCACTGCACACGAGTCGTGCCAAACCCGGCTCTTGAGACGATTCATTTGCGACGTCTCGAGGCAGCTCATTGCTGCCGCTACCAAGGGCCATCAAAACGTTGTCAACAGGCTGCTGGTGCCCTACTAATTTAGTAGGGCAGCGGTAGCCGCTGCGCGGGACACCTCGAGATGACAGCGTTTCTATTAAACCAAAACGAACTAAACGTAACTTACTTACGGGATGATATCGAACGGAAGTAAGCGCATACAACAGCTCGAGCTGTGTTGAGTACCGCAGCGGCAAATGGCCATCTGAATGTGGTGCAGTACATGGTGCAGCGTCCGCAAGATAAAAAGTACGATAACAAGCGATGGCAGCTCTGGCCCGAGCAATCACTGGTCGCCACACGGTAGTGGTGGAATATCTGCTCCTTCTTAGCATTTCTCCTTGGATCTGGTACTCGCCTTTGCAGCGGCGGTGGATACAAACCAGCTCTTACTCACCAAGAGAGTGTTTGACGCCTACAGAAAGAAAACCGGCGGGACCAAAATGTTCGTCAAACTGGCAGAAGGTGGCCATTTGAGCGCCGTCAAGTATTTGTATGACAGAGGAAGCCTCTTCGCTCCAGTTAACCCCTTGGACGCGGAGGGTTGTAATATGGTCTTATGCTGTTCAGAACAGCATAACAATTACTTAGATTCACTATGCCACGAAATCCGCAAAAGCGTATCCACGCCCCTTCCCATAAATTGATCGACTGTTATTGGTCCACGTGTACAAATCCAACAATTTAATTGGTTCATGAAACAGGTGGCTTGATGTACCGCGCGTAGAGAGCAGACTCTCATATTTTGGAAAATATAAATTTTGGTTTCCTTTGCCGCTTTCGCGCCAAGCCACTCATTCTTCGTTTTTGCCACGTCAAGCGCAAGAATGACTTACTTTATGGATTTCAAGTCAGTATGGCCACTTCTACGAAAGGAGGGTTGGACGTGGAAGCCTGCAGCCGGCATCCAGATCCAGTACGTTACCTTTTTGTCTACTTTGTTGCACCACAGTAATGTACTAACTTGCATAAATGCGTGTAGTCACAACTACCTGAAACCAGGAAGCAAAGTTAGGGGAGGTAAACGCGGCACGAACTATTTCAACGGCGAGGATGAACTACTGGCGTATGTGCGTCGCGATACAGAGCTGTGCGCGCGGCTTAATATCGCGAACGTATGGGTGCGCCCGCCTTCTCAAGCGGGTAAGTAGTATCTTGCTGTTACTATGTGTTTACAAAAGTGACTTACTGTTTGTATTGAAATTTAGTCCAAAGCACTATAGGTGCTGCTGCGTGAGACTCTCCCACTCCAGTGCCTGATCAGCCCGAAATCGAGGCTGCAACTGCACCAAAGAGAGATGCTCCTGCGTCAGGTAAAGCGCCGGCGAAGAAACGCGTGAAACAGACATCTACCGAGCAGAAGACTGCAAAGCCTTCTACAACGAAGACGAAGAAGATGACGAAGAAGCAGCTTGACAAAGAAGCAGCAGATCGCCGTCGAGAGCTCTCGTCGTTCGGTAGAGTGTGGGGAGGCGAAAACGCCCAAGGTACCGCTTCGTTTCAGTGCTGGTGCCTATAAAGATCTAACTGGGTATTTGTAGCAAACGATGGACTTCGTGCAGATCCCCCTCAGACAAATCAAGAACCTGGCTCCATGAGCGCTGACAAGAATGGTATAAGAACCCGATAATATGCTGACGTTATGCTAAGCTGACACTGTCGTAATGATTTTTAGATAATGCTGACAACGGAGGACAAGCTAACGCTGACACGACAGGTATAGTCGACTGTTTTTATGCTGACTTGTTCATACGCTGACGTGGTGTGTATACAGAAAACGTTAATGCTGACTTGGTAGCATCTGCTAATACTGACCCTCCAGGTATAGCATTGCTGATTTTTTAATATGCTGACGAATATGTTTGCTAATTCCAAGTGTGGGTTATTGTAGCTATTGATGATGCCAATAAATCTCTAGTCGGATATATGGATGGTGATGTGGATTCAGTCATCGCCGGTAGCAGCGATGGCAAAAACAGTGAGTACGTTTTCGATGAGAGTGATGGGGATGATTTTGAGTCTGAAGGTGATACTGGCGACACGACCCGAGACGACGACGGAGTGACGATTCCGCCTGCAACAGTCAGTTCGTCTCAATTTCGAGGAATCGAATTCGCGGTGATGGAAGCCACTGATCCAAACCTCGTATTGAGAGAAGGTGAAGATTTTCTAGATTCGGACGGAGAAGGGAGTGATGATTTGGTGGAGGCCGCTGAAACATTTGTGGATGAAGATTCCAGCGAGAGTGAAGATGCAAACGAGTCAGTCGCAGAAGAGGTCAGTCGTATGATCGGCCGTATGAAGCCAGCTGAAATTGATTATATGCGGTTGCGCGTTCAAGGTGTGTGGTTTTTTGTTGTGGAGCCAAGGAGAGTTTATCTAATTGACATTATGCTGACAGGGTCGTCTGAGATTTATGACACCACTCAACTTGCTGCCATGGCACAAGATGGCTGGACTGTTCTACCGGACGATACAACAACGCCTGTCACTAATGATGCTGGTGTAGACAACATGTACGACGGTGTACTTTGAACCCTCAAAAGGCGTCATAGCTGCTTCACAGTCACCTATCGACCTCTTCTACTTTTTCCTGCCCAAATCGTTGTGGCGGCATGTTGCAAGCGAATCCAACCGGTATTGGAAGCAAACGCTTGAAGCACGCCTCGAGAAAATGGTACAGCAAGAAGGGAAGGTGATGCACCGGCTTCACAAGAGTAGAGAAAAACTGAGAAAGCGCCTGATGAAATTTGATAAGATTCTGCCGCACGAAGTTGTTCAATGGGTTGGGCTGATGTTGGCCCATGCCTTGAGTCCTCGAGAGTCGTTTGAGATGCACTGGAATATGGCCGAGGATGGCCTAATTCCTGCAGGAACATTTGGAAAAGCTATGTCTCGAGACCGTTTTCGGCTCATTACCAGATTTCTGCATTTTACTGACAACGAAGATCCTGCGGCTTCTAGTGATAGGGTCTGGAGAACTCGTTCGGTGTTGGCAACGGTGGAAATCACATTCAAGGAGGGGTTCAAGAGTGGCTGTTGATGAAGGTATGTTACCTTCGTTCAATCGGCACAATCCGACACGCATGTACATGAAGGACAAGCCGCATAAGTGGGGAACCAAGTGCGTATGACGTGCTGCGCCGAGTCGGGCTACTGCAAAAGGTAATGCTGACATAGTCACGATAAATTATTGAATCTATGCTGACTTAGAGTACATTATTTGATGCATGACCGAGTTGAAGTCGACGTTGGGCGAAAGAAGGACAAGGAGGGTGCTCAATCGATGGACACAAAGAGCGGCCCGGCGGCTGTCATACGAAATATTGCGAGTGTTTTCCGTGGACTCCCTTACCAAGGAAGGCGTATCGTGGTTGCAGATCGGTTTTATACTTCTGTACCGCTAGCGCAACAACTGTGGACTATGGGCTTCAATTTCGTTGGGACTATAGAAAAGAATCGAAAAGGGTGGTGCAAAGGGGTTGAATTTCCTTTCAAGAAGCGACCAGCAAACTTTACAAGGGGCTCCTTCAAAATGGCGATCGCTAAAAGCAATCCGGGTCTAGTGGCACTGGGCTGGGCTGATAACAGATCGGTTTACTTCCTGGCATCCCAAGTTGGAACAGCTATGACGACTGACGAGTGTTCAGCGCCGTGAAAAGAACGGAGAGCAGAGCACTGTTCCATGCCCGGGGATTGTTGCAGAATACCAGCGCTTCATGGGTGGTGTTGATCGCTATGATCAATTGCGACTTCAGTCGTACTCTATGCAATATGCAGCAAGGTAAATGCTACCCTGACAATGTCAACTTATGGTCTCTAATTTATGCTGTTCTGTATACCAGATTTCAGAAATACTACAAGAGTCTCTTCCTTGGGCTATTAGACATGGCCATGGTGAACGCGTACATTGTACATTCGCTGTTGTAGGAGGAACAGAGCAAGAAGAAGATGTCGCATTACGTGTTCTTGGCAAGAATGCACAAGCAACTTATCCTGCAAACACAGACAGCATTTACAGAGACAACCAGATTATCTCGACCGACTAAAAACAGTTACTGAACAAGTTACTGTACATGGCGGGCATGTACTAGTTCAAACGCCAGATACGCGCATGAACAACGGTGTCCAGAGGCTGAGACAGCGCCAGTGTAAAGTCTGCTCCTGCTACAAGCCTGAAGGTAAGCGGCGTGGGGGGACATCGACATTCTATTGCCCAAAGTGTTTGGAGGACAAGAAGGGTGTGGTGACGCTTTGCAACAAAGTCCGAGGGCATCCAGCAAACGAGATATGGCATATCCTGTGGCAGAACGGTGAGTTTTCGCCAAAGGAGAGTCACATTCGGGACCGTAGTCTTGCCAACCCGTAGCTAACCTTGTCAATACACGTACCTTCACAATCTCAACCATTTATTGGCACCGTACCTGCACATGCGTTCGCCTCTGTTAGCTCTCGCTTGGCCATCCAGTTACTGCCACTATGCCGCTATAGTTTGCACCGCTGCTTGGGGTCTAGTTGGGGGAAGGAGGGAGATGTTTGTCTGTGATGCGTGTGCTGTGGTTGTCTCCAAATTTAGAGCTTGCATAGAATGACCAGGAAACAGTTGATTGGAGAATTTTAAATCCGCTGATCACACCATCCCCTTCTGCGGAATAATTACCAAGGAGGTTAGCCACATTCGTTGCTAAGAAAGTGCATTTTTAACCTTGAATTAATTATATCATATTTTAACGAAGTTATTTTCTTATACCCTCCGGGAGGGTAAAAGCATTTTTCTTAGCCTATTCGTGTCACACCTCCGCGTCCAAGGGGTTAACCCCGCGTTCTTGAGCGCTGCAACTTACGGCAAGACTAATGTCGTTGAGCTCCTGCTCACCACTGGTCTAATCACTGCCGAGTCTCTTGATAACGCCTTCGAGGCTGCTGCGAGACTTGTCGGGGTTGTTCACTTCGACACAGTGATATTCGTATACATGACACGCCGAGCATTTCTAGACGCAACAAACAAAGCACACGAACGTATTTCTGACAAAGCAATTATAACAGCATTCGAAAAGGCTACTGAAGGTGAAGAAAGTAACATCAACTACCACAGTCGCTACCAGGAGCTCTGTATCCCCACTGAGATGATCTGCAAAGCCTTCGTCATTGCAGCATCTAACGGCAACTTGGAGGTCGAGGAGCATCTATATGACTATCACCGCATTTCTGCTGAAGCAATGGGTGAAAGTTTCGCCGGTGCAGCATGTAGCAATCATGTGGACATGATGACGTCGCTCTATGACGGTCAGCACATTCTCCATGGCCGTTTTTCAAGCATTTAAGAAAGCTCTTGTTGTGGAGAATCCTTCAGCTTTGTAGTACTTAGAGACAAAGCCAACGCAGGAAGAGCGTGTGCCGCGAGAATTGAAGCACCAAGCGTTCGTGGCTGCTGCCAGGAAGAAGACGCACTGTCGCTACTAACGAGACACGAACGTGGAGAATGGCCACTGGATGCACTGAAAGAAGCACTCGAGGCGCCATATTACCGTGTCATCGAGAACATCATCTAACCGATTGACCACGTTGGAACTGAACATAAAACGTTAGCTCCGCGTACCGGTATTATAGGTTTTGTAAAATACCCTGGGTAAAAATTACTTTTTGAAAGTAAAATGTACAATTACTTTAATCGCTTTTAGTAAGAACAATTTCATTTGATGGCGTAGCTACGCTGGGCTCACCGAAAAAATGTAGTTTTTTTTAGTTTTGGTGCCGCTAATACTGTACTACAGTAGTAGCCTATCGTTATAAAATTCATACTCTTTTTATATCAATTCGGTAATAGCCGCTCATGTTAAATAGAAGACAAGTTATTCGATGACGCCCGTCCGTAAACAATAAACCTGCCACCTCCACGAAATGAAAGCAGTTCTTCATTGTTCTATCTCTTTTTAAGCGTCACTAGTTTGCTTCAAAATGAGCCACTACATCAGTCCAATCGCTATCATTTTTCTTCTTGTATGTGTCTCTGTTTCGGATTCCAAGAGGCTGTTTGGGGCTCAAACACCCCCGACAATGGTCAACGAAGATAGAGGAATCCCGGGCTGGAACAAGATTGCGTCGCCGGTGAGGACAAAAATATCAAAAGTCGCTAATGCCGTGATTTTAAGAACTTGGTTGTCCACGTGAAAACCTGTTGACGACGCATTTGCGAGTCTGAAGCTTAACCAAGGTTTGAGTAAAGCTCTTGGCAGCCCAAACCTACCGCTTATGAGAAGGTATGTGGACATGTTCAACAAGAAGAATCCTGACAGGCAAGTGTCGTTAGTCAATATGCTCTCGACGAGATACGGAGAAAAGGCGTTGGCCGAAGCGCTTGTACGTGCGACGAAGGCCAAAGATCGATAAAAATCGCATCACAGCTGCAGAGCCAGCAATTCAAAAATTGGTTGCACGCGGACAAGTCTGCTGATGACATCTTTGCGATGCTAAAAATCAGCCACGATCCGACTCCAGCTATGATCGATTCGAAACTGGAAGCGCTGCGAGGATATATTTTCGTGTTCAACCGTAAGAACCCCCTACATGTAAAGGACGAGCTCACAGTGTTGCGGGATGGCTTCGGTGACAGCAAGCTCGCGATGTGGATTGCAAAGCTCATGCACGGTCCAGACTCGGACAAGGCCACATTGTACAAAGATTGGCTGTTTGCGAGATGGTACGAAGAAAAAGCTGCTCCGGCGGGCATTTTTACCCATGTGTTTAAGGTCTCAGACGACTACCGGGGAGCTGACGTTATTTGGATGAGATGGATAGCTAAAAACTACAACTTCTACATGGACAAGATTACTTAGGGCTGACTTTTGTGTGCCCTCGGTATTAAAAGTCAAGTGAAAGTAACTACCGCTACAATTGCAACATTCTCATACCGCTTTATTTGCAAGAACAATCAGACTGCTAAGTTGATTCGCTGATTTTTAGTGCTGGATGGTGTGCATGTCTTCTCAGGGTCCTCGGGTTTAAGAATATCTAAAATGTCGATCGGGTTGTTCAGTTTTGGCACACCTGCAGCGTTTCGGCCATCGTCGTTCCTCCACACTAAGCTGGCCTCTTTCGTTACGAAAAACTTCACGACCACGACTCACTGCCAACAACAAAGGAGTCCACTTTGACTTGGTTACACTATCGACCCGATGCAGCAAGGAAACAACATCAACAAGGACTCGCTGAACCGCCGTCAATAGCTAAACTCGAGTCTCTCTGAATTAATATCCGAGCGCACTCTGATGACCGATGTACACTGCTTCGCGCAGAGTCGCCATCGCTGTCTTTTGCGTTACTCTGTGACCGTTAAGCTGTGTTTTATCCGCAGTTTAATCTTTTCGCATGACCTCTCTGTGATGCGGTCGTCAAAGGCGCCGAATCTACTCCGCAAGAGTTCACGTGAGCTCCACGCTCCAGTAACGTTCGAGCTGCCTTCACTAGCTCGCTTTCAGCTGCAAATGTCAACGCAGTGCTGTGTGGCTGCTAACATGACTGGCGTTGGAGCTGCCCCGTTACTCAAATTTATCTGGCATCACACTTAAGTAGCAAACAAACAATGTCCAATTGAAACATTTGGCGGGACCCCGGGGTCCGGATGGGACCCCGGGGCTCTCATAAGTAACCGGTAGAAAACATAACCAATTTTTGTTTTGGCTGCTGAGGTACATCCACGATTACATTTGTAGAGCTGATATGCTGCCGAACTGTCAGCATGGGTGTTTTTTGTGTTGGAGCGTCAACGTCGTTGACATCGACGAACAGATCTAGTGTCATCAGGGAGAATCTGGTACGTACTCACTGTGTCAAGTGGACACAGGTCACAGTGCGATGAACACGGGCGACAGAGTGGCTCCAGCATTAGCGACATCAATGGGAGCGACGTGGGTATTTCGACGTGAGCGATGAGAAGGCTTGGGCAGGCGGCTCGGTCAAAGGGGACTCCGTCTGCATGTAGTGTCAGTTAGTTTTGCATTTTAAAGACCCACCAGCTCCATCACTTTCCAAAACACCATGACGAGTACAAGCGCCTTTCCGCCTCTCCGCAACCCTCCTTCCTCCAAGTGTCAACTTCCGACAGGTTATGACGTCCGCAAATACGGCTACGGCGTTCGCGACGAAGCTGAAGCAGTTCAACGGTACTGGGTTCCCAGCGTGGGGCGCCTAGGTGAAGCTGGTCCTCGAGATCAAGGGACTCTGGGCTGACGTCGAGAAGGATGCGCCACCGGCTGACGGGCTTGCAGCGGAGGCTGAAGCGCTGAAGGTGTACGATGCGGCTGTCGCCGCTGGAACGTCCGGGACGGTGGCTCCGAGAACACCACTACATGAACAAGTCATGCGGCTGAAGAGGGCGTCATCGATCATCCTGTCGGCGCTGACGGAGAAACTGGCAGCGGAGGTGTATCTGTTTGATCACCCGCTGGCCATGCCGCGCCACCTGCGGCTGACCTACAACGTGAAGTGTAGTTCCAGCGTCGGTGCTGCGAAACGAGAGTACATGAGTCTGTACCTCGCTGATGGTGACTCCATGACGGAGCACATCAAGACCACCAAGAGGGTGATTGGGGACCTCCAAGAGCAGCGTGTGTACTTGGCGGACGAAGAGAAGCGCCAGAACTTCATGCAGAGTCTGGGACCTGCGTGGAACGGTTTTGTCGGCGTTCTCGAGATGTGCCAGACATTCGAGGCGATGGTGACGCGGTGCCAAGCTGAGGCAATTCGTCGAGACCAGCAGAAGAATCGTCGCTCGACGAATGGCAGTGGTAAGTCGAATGCATCGAATGGAGCCTTCTCTGCTGAACAAGTGGCTGGCAAGAAGGGGAAGAATAAACGTGACATGACCAAGGTCAAGTGTTACAGCTGCCAAGAAATGGGGCACTTCGCGCGAGACTGCTCGAAGGAGCGAGTGCCACCGAAGGGCAAGGGCGGCGAGGCCGCTAGTGTGGCGTTCTCGGTCCACGATGTGACCGACGAGTGCAAGCGAGAGTGGATCGTGGACAGCGGGGCCACGAGCCACATGACAGGACATGCTGACAACTTGGTGGGGGCGCGTGAGCTGGCAGAGCCTCGTGTGCTCACAGTTGCGTCCGGTGACAGCGTGGTGGCAACCGCCATGGGGCAAGCACCACTGTACCAGAACGGGAAAGAGGTATGCGTCCTCCAAGATGTCCTATTTGTGAAGGGACTAGCCCGCAACCTCGTGTCTGTTGGGGCGGCATCGCGTCGCGGGATGACGGTGGAGTTTAAGGGAGTTGGTTGCGCTATTCGCGCGTCGAATGGAGTGACCATACAAGCATCGAGAGCACACAACCAAATGTACGTGCTGGATGCTGCCAGCAAGCCCGTCGAAGATGTCGCGATGATGACGAGCGAAGCGCCTCATGTGGAGACGTGGCATCGCCGCTTTGGACACTTAAATGTGCAAAGTGTTCAACAGCCTCTGGGAGAGCTGGGGGTACCATTGAAAGGTGCTGTGAAGCAAGCGTGCCCAACGTGCGTGAGTGGCAAGCTGTCACAAAAGCCATTTGCGGCAAAGGACAATCGCGTCCTCAAGAAAAACCAGATCCTGCTCGCAATCGACTACGTGGGGCCAATGCAGGTGACGTCTCGTGAAGGTTTTACTGGTATGGCAAACGTTGTTGTGGAGCCATTTCATCTAGATATGGTGTATCCACTTCGTGTGAAGAGCTCTCAAGCTCAACTGGATGCTATCAAGGACTGCATCGCGAAGATGAAGGCGTATGCTCCGACATATCGTGTGGCGTTCGTCAAGTCAGACAACGCTGCAGAGTACACAGGTGGTGTGTTTGCTGCCTATTGTGAGAAGAACGACATTGTACAGGAGTTCTCGACTCCGTACAGTCCACAGCAGAATGGGAAGGTCGAGCGTGGCAATCGCGTAATTGTCGAGATGGCTCGGTCCATGATGCTTGGAGCCAACTTGCCAACTGTGTACTGGGCTGACGCAGTCGTGTGCGCTGGGTATGTGCGGAATCGCTGTCCAACGAAGTTGCTTGATGGGAAGACGCCGATGGAGGCCTTGTTTGGGAAAGCTCCTGACATCAGCAACTTGAGAGTCTTTGGATGTAAGGCGCAAGCACTGGTTTCGAAGGAGCACCGTAAGAAGCTGGACTCCAAGACACGCAACGGCATCTTCATCGGGTATGCTACAGGTGGTGCGTACTTGGTGTACATTCCGCACCATGGGACTGGTGAAGCAATCACGGCGCGCACCGTTGTATTCTACGAAGACCAGTTCCTTCCTGCCGAAGATGGAGACGAGATCACGATAAGCTCGCAGCTGGATCTCTTGCAGTTGGATGCGGTTATCAGCACGCTTTTTTCACGTCTCGAGACAGTAGAAGAAGAAAAGCAAGATGTGTCCATGGCCACACCCGGTGAGGAGGACGTGGCAATGGCGCCGACACCGAGCGCAGTAAGCAGCAATTTGGAAACACCGGATCAACCAACGAGTGGGAGTTCTCAACCAGTGGGAGCCGCTCGTATGCAAGCCCGGCTTCGAGGTGATCCACGTCTAGAGAAGGCAAAGAATCCTGTTCGCAAGTCCAGCAGGATCCCGAGGCCAAGTCAGCGCAAGCTGGACTACGACGAGTCGCACTTGTCCATGGAGGAGGTCTGCGCGATGGTTGAAGAGCGTGTTATTCCTGCAGCAGTTGATGGTAGGAGTGTTCGAGACGGCTACATCTACAGCAAGCTAACACCAAGTGACATTACGAATTGGGCTCTGGGTGTTGAGCCGCTCAACATTGAAGAAGTCGACGCGTCTGATGATCGAAGCGAGTGGGAGCGTGCAATGGACGACGAGATCCAGAGTCTTCTGGACAATGGGACGTTCGAAGAAGTACCATTGCCTCCAATCCGCACTGCTGTGAAGTCAAAATGGGTGTTCAAAAAGAAAACTCTTGCGGATGGCAGCTTGGACAAGTACAAAGCACGTGTCGTCGCTAAGGGGTACAGCCAGCGGTTCGGAGTGGACTACACTGAGACGTTCAGCCCGGTCGTGCGCCACAGCACTCTTCGTCTTGTGCTGGTCATTGTGGTGACGAGACGCATGAAGCGCATGCAGTTGGATGTGAAGGCCGCGTTCCTCAACTCAGCCTTGGACGAAGAGATCTACCTGGAACCAGCTGAAGGCTACAAGAATGCTGATGAACACGTATGGCGTCTGCGCAAGGCACTCTACGGGCTAAAGCAAGCGTCAAGATCCTGGTACGAGAACCTGCGTCTCTTTCTGGAGAGTCAAGGCTTCTATCAAGGAGAAGCCGACTACTGCCTGTTCTCAAAGGGCAGCGCGGATGACGACAATCTGATGATAATACTCGTTTACGTTGACGACATGTTGGTGTTCGCAACGCACGATGAGGACCTGGCCTCGTTCAAGGCTGCTATGGAAACGACATACGACGTGAACGACTTCGAGGATGCCAGCTACTTCCTTGGATTGGAGCTGCAGTGGTCACCAAGTGGTGACGAAGTGACTATCGGGCAGCAGAAGTATGCGAAGTCAATCCTCGAGCGGTTCAACATGGATAAAACGATGCCAGCACGCACTCCGATGGAGGAACGTTTTCGTGATCAACTCTTCAAGGCGCAGGAGGTGATCAACTTTCGTCCCCGTCCTGCCATCGGAGCGCTGCTTTATCTGACGGTAAACACGAGACCGGATATGGCTACTGCGGAGCGGACTCTTGCTCAAGAGATCGAGACTCCGACCGACTGCCTCAAGCACGGTGTGGAGCACGTCTTTCGGTACCTGCGCAACACTCAAGATTTTAGGCTGGTATACAAGAGCAGTGCTGTAAAAGGACTCGTTGTATACTGCGACGCTGCATTCGCAGTGGAGCGCAATGCTAAGTCGGCGACGGGGTACGCTATCTTCTACGACGGCTGCCTGATCGAGTGGGGATCGAAGAAGCAGTCGATGGTGACGCTGTCCTCCACCGAGGCTGAGTACATTGCGATGGGGAGCGGTGTCCAGGAGTGTATTGGGATCAACTTGGTCTTAAAGGATTTGGGACTGGAAGTTGACCAGATCACTGTGTTCGAAGACAACCAAGGGGCCCAACACCTGGCGGAGAGCAAGGCCGTGACGCAACGCTCGCGCCACATCGACACGAAGTATCACTGGCTTCGTGAGAAGGTGAAGGAGGACCACATTCGTATCGAGTACTGCCCCACTGCGGAGATGATCGCCGACCACTTCACCAAGGCTCTGGGAGCAACCAAGTTCCAGTACTTTCGTGACCGTCTCGCCGTTCGTCGAGTGGGAGTGTTGGAGCGTCAACGTCGTTGACATCGACGAACAGATCTAGTGTCATCAGGGAGAATCTGGTACGTACTACTCGTTGGCCCACTGTGTCAAGTGGACACAGGATGAACACGGGCGACAGAGTGGCTCCAGCACTAGCGACATCAATGGGAGCGACGTGGGTATTTCGACGTGAGCGATGAGAAGGCTTGGGCAGGCGGCTCGGTCAAAGGGGACTCCGTCTGCATGTAGTGTCAGTTAGTTTTGCATTTTAAAGACCCACCAGCTCAATCACTTTCCAAAACACCACGACGAGTACAAGCGCCTTTCCGCCTCTCCGCAACCCTCCTTCCTCCAAGTGTCAACTTTCGACACGCTGGTTCGTTCCGTTCAGCAGAAACTGCTCCAGCAAGTAACCGTTCGTGGCGTGAAGCTCCACACCGTCGAAGCCTGCCTCCAAAGCGTTTTCGGCTGCACGCTTGTAGTCATCGACGATGCCTGGGATCTCACTGACCTCGAGAGCTCGGGGGTTCGGGTGAGGCAAACGACCCTCGATAGTGGTGGCGAGACTCTGCACGCCCTCCATGTTCGTCGCGCTAGCCGAGACAGGTTGGGCTCCGTTCGGAAGGTTCAAGGGGTGACTGATGCGGCCTGTGTGCCACAACTGGTTGAAGATCTTGCCACCTTTGTCGTGCACTGCGGATGTCACGGCCTTCCAGCCTTCTACTTGCTCCGGCGTGTAAAGACCTGGAGCTCCGTAGTAACCGCGAGCGTAGGCACTAATGTTGGTGGCCTCCGAGATCAGTAAGCCACCATCAGTAGCGCGTTGTCTATAGAACTCGGCTACGGCATTTCCAGGTACCCCGTCGTTCCCCGTACGCTGACGGGTCATGGGTGCCATCACCACGCGGTGTTTCAATTGGGTCGGGGCCTTCTTGCCACCAAGTTTCACTGCAGAGAAGAGCTTGGACGCCATGATAAACGATGAGCTAAATTTGCTGTTGTCGACCTTGCTAGTTGGAGGAGATTTAAAAAATGCTACATGAGTTGCTGGCGTCGGTCACAAGACTGATTTAGCACTCGAGTGCGGCAATCATCACCGTTTCGCTTCTGTTTACCACATACATGTATGTACATGTAACTGATGACGCGATCTTATTCTCTACACACTGGGAATGTTGGCGCACAGCTTTAAAAAAATCGCTCGCATTGTGGTCAACATATTTTTAGCGTAAGCAATGAACGAGGCTGGCACCACTGTCATTGATGGAGTCGTCGGTTTGGCCGCGCTTTCGCAATGCCTCTGCAACAAGCTTTTCAACTACAATTTCCCTGCAGCCTCCAGGTGAAATTACGCATTAACAATTTCTCTATTTACTACAATTAGCAACTCAAATGTAGATCTGCTCGTCTTCTTCCATCTTGTGGTGCAGTCCGACCGACTCGACGGCAAACTCGCCGAATTTGATCTCCTCACCAGTCTTGCCGATCAGGAAGCGCTTCTTATAGATTAGATTGGGGTAAATCTGTTCCGTCTGCACTGCCACGAATCTCTCAGCACGTGCATTGCCTCCACGCGGTGGTGAAAGTCGAGCCCGCTCGTTGGGCAACACGAGGACCAAGACTGTCAAGAGCAACAGCACGCCACACCCCGTCCACGTACACACGTTGCCTACCTTGGTATTTGTCAAAAAAACCTTTACCCGTCGTTGTGAGGTATCAACAAGTCGTCTTTGTGTCATCATGATGTCCATGCCTGGTGCGTGATCCAATACTCGAGCGTTTTGGAAAATAAACAGCAGCGCAGATGCTGTCATCGTATCCACCAGATTGCCATTCATGTAGAAATGGTTGCTGTCGACGTACTGGAGATACGTATCCACCGTTGACGAGCACTTGTGCGTGCTGTCCCGTGGCCACGACTCTAAGTGCTCCAATGTCGCAAACGACGACGTTTGTCCGGGGACAACTCTTACTTTGGGCTCTAAGAGCTGAACAAGAGAGACGGGAGATCTTGCACTGCCACTTTGGAGTTGAGATGGGAGCAGCTGTTTGGGCAGTACCAAGTGGCGATCACCGTCACCAAGCTGGTGGTACAGTACCTCACAGCCTTCTTCGGATGACGTCCATAAGTCGCACTTGTATGCAGCATGATCGAAACGCCATGATAAACGGCCGAGCGACAGCACCAACGAGCGTGTCGCTACAGCGGCCTCACTTTCAACGCCAGTCACAGTCGTAAAACCATATAGGAATGCCGTGTTGGAGGTGTTCATTTGAGCCATTCCAATCTGCTTGCGTGGCAGATTTTGCTTAAGATTTAGTTGTGTCTCCAGCAGCGCACAATTGGTTTCGCCACAAACGACCGAGGCGTTGCTCGGGTTGCGAAGCGGCAATGACAACGTCATGACATGGATATCCATTAAAGAGCTCTGTGTCCGCGTCTCGAAGGAAGCGTCTACAGTAGCAATCTCCGCCAAAGGCAATCCCATGTCAAGTAGTGAGCTCATGACATCATCCAGAAACTCGTCCATGTTTGAAGGCGGCGTGGTAGATGGACGGTTGCTACTAGCCCTCACACTCTTCGACAAAACCGCTTTCCCTTGCACCCACAGCTCGTACGCCGTGGCTAGTGACATGACCTCACTCAGCTGCGCGTCACTCGCAGGATCGGCAGCACCAGGGTGAGAGATCTCGAAGCGCTTCGTCGCTTCTTCACGCGACCATCCATTCCCGAACTCGACACCCCACTTACGCAGAGGGAAGCCGAAAACAGCCTTCGGGGTTGTAGATAGTAAAATCTTTGTAGCGAACTGGTCTTCTCCTGTAGAGCTGCACCTCGACATTTCCAATGGCTGCATGGGATCCACCTTTCGTGCCAACGCCGATTTCAAGATGGTGTCGCCCAGTCCTGCACCTCCCAGCTCCGTTCCATCCTGCATCAAAAATCTTGTTGCCGTGGTTGAGTTGTTATTGCTGATTGTTGAGTTGTCATCCTTCTGGTTGGCCTGCACAGCCGAAAGTGAACTGCCCACGGCCATCATGACAGCAGGGATGAAGATTGTAAGCGCGAACTTTTTGAACTTGCTCTGCTTCTTAGTCGCCGGGTCGTCGCCTGGGTACCATCTTAAATTGTGCAGGTACACGATGAAGACGGGGAAGATTTCTTCCACGCCGAGGCCCACGATAGACTCGATGAAGCCCATGATGAGACCGATGTACGAGTTGACCGTGTCCACTTTGCTATCAGCAGTACCCACAGGAACGCTCTTATCCACCACGAAACCCTCGCGCAGCCACGCAGCGATTGCTGACATGACAGCGGCTGTGAGCACTACGAGCACAGCAAACCGCTTCCATCGCAGAATGATCTCGGGTCGCGGCTGAGCCAATTCCCCATACGCTACTTCGTCGTGGGCGTCGCTGTCGCTTACGCTATCCACCCGCAGGCGGCCGATATTGTCCACCACCAGGCACGGGGACGTCGTCTGTAGATCACTGCGCTGCTCTGGTCGCACCCCGCGACTGCTGGCCAGTATGGCGTGTGGCGATTCGCACTCGAAGGCGTCGTCTGTATACGATGACATGCGGTCCTGCTCCAGTTGCCGCCGCTCGGCCACTTGCAGTTCGTACTTCGCTTCCGCTTGCGCTCTGAGCGACTGGTGCGTCTGCAGAGGCCCCGCCGGCGCACCCGAAGGTCGCTTCCTGCTGCTCATGCGGCCAGACGTTACTTTAGCTTGAATTTTGTAAGACGGAGTGAGATGGGCGTCATATTAATACCGAATACGATTTGGCTATGATCTATATTATAATAGCGTGGCACAACAACTGGCTTCTAAGTTATTTTACAGGCATCTGAGCTACTACTGTACAGTACATGTACTACATTTAAAATACTGCTCCTCTTATTTATTATAAGAAAGTAAAATAAACGATATCACTGTCCAAGGGATTGGTGCCACTTCCACGATGGACCAACATGGAGAAGCTCCGACTCGGAATCCGAGAGGGCTTCGGTCTGATGTTAGCTCCGGCATCTCCTCTTCGACCAACAAGACGAACTGCTCCACAACGCACTCGAGCAGCTTTATGGTGGTCTCTTTGCCCACTTCCGGCGATGACTTACAGCGCAGCTTCGCGCCAGTTGAGTCGACGATGAACGACATGGCTCGCACCAACGCGCTTGCCGACCGCAACACCATCGTGGACATGAGTCTGCGGCTATCTCGTTTCGTGCTGTGTGTAGTGGCAGCTTTAATCTTCGCGTTCGGCTTTGCGCTGCTCACGAGCAACAAGAAGACCCTCATTTATGTGTACGAGAACAAACTGGCAGCCAACGAGACGCTGTCCGCCAAGGCCTCGTCCGTCGTGGAAGACTACAACACCCTCTTCGGTTACATCCTGTTCGCGGGCGGTAAAGTCTTTGAGGTCTTCTGCGAGACGCTAATCTTCCCCACGCTGGCCACGTATCTGCACAATTGCAGTCTGTACCCTGGAGACCAGCCAGCGCGCATGCACTCGGTCGTCAAGGCACGCAGCATCTTTTGGGGACTCAAGACTGTCATTATCCTCATGAACGTCGGGTTTACGAGTGTTTATGTAGGTCAAACCACCTTCGAAGCGGGACAAATTTCTCGCCACCTCGCTGTCTCGGATGAGTTCACAAGCATGACAATAGAGATGGAAATGCCGTGGACTGTAGACTTGGACGCTGACGTGCTTCACTCAGTCCTGCAATCATCTATAACCGGAACTACAACTCCGTTCACATTCGAAGATACCTGCAAATGGTCAGAACACAATAAGGACGACGCAGCACAGCAGTGGGGAGCGTGGGTCGACGACGTGGACACCACTTCCGTGAGCTTCAGCTTCCAATCGCACGCATGGAACGCTGCTCTACTTTCATCTCAAGGAACGGTGCCAACCAGGTCAGTGGAGATTCCGCTACGAGGCTACCTGGCCAGCAGTGACAAGTATGCGATCACCGACGACTGGGATGTTCCAGAGCTGTACTCGACCTTCAACCAGGGCATGACCAGATTGGGTCTAGCGAACGATCCAGTCGATGGAGCAACTCCCCAGTCATTCGACGAGCTGATTCGTGTGGTTGCGAGTGACCTGAAGACAGCGCTTCCCGATAACAACCGTGTTGGTGATCAAGTGTTACGCCTGGAGCACCGTGAACTGGCTGAGGACGTGCAGTTTACAAGTCTGACAATGTCAGTCCCGGTTGAGGCGGACATCACGGGATCTACACTGTGTGGAGCTTCTGGTTGTGTCTACGCCACGTCAACAACCGCCTTGGACCAACTTCACCTGCAGCCGGCCGTGTCTATCGCCTCGTACGAGAAGGACGCGGCGTCCGCCTTAGTCTACAGTAGTACCAATCAGTTTGTGCAGGAAGTGAAGGGAGCTCAAACTCCACACGAGGTGCTGACACTGTCGGTGGGCAAGATAACGTGGCAGCTGAGTCCGCTGCATATTCGACATGACGCCGCCTGTGCAGATGACGACGACGGGTGTCTCGGTCTGAGCCTGCCCTTCGCCACAGGCGACGGTGTTCTGTTGGTCGGTAAAGAAGCGCTAGCCACACAGCACTTGGCACACCCAGTGGCCCTTGTGACGCTGCATCCAGCCACAATACCAGATATGACTCGGCCGGACATCGATGCTCTCACGTCGTGGCATCGGCTGGTATCATCAAACGGCATGCTGGTGCGTCCAAGCTCGTCTGGATGTAAGTCGCTGGTGGATGCGTACCTGGCTCACCTCCAAGCAAACCATTTCTACCTAGACGATCAACTATCTCTGGATATGTACTCGACAGCTCTGTTTTACTTAGTTCAGCGCGGAGTACCGACGTCGTTTGCAGATGCCGTGTCACGACGACGTCTCGCTTTATCGGCTGCGATGGCCTCGAGTGGCTCTGGTTCCGGCAACGTCACAAGTGTTCGTGCTACGACGGACATCGAAGTGAACGTTCCTACGGCGACGGCTTTGGTGACGATGGCTGGATGTATTTTCATCGTGCTGCTGATGCTGTGTGTCATTTATCTGCCGACGCCGCGTGTTAAGCTTTCACCAGACACGACACCGGCCGCTCAGTACGTGCAGGTTCTGACGGACGACTTGTACCCGGACTTGGTGCACAAGAAGCGGTTGCGATTCGCGAACGGTGATTGTCTCCTGTTTAACGAGTACGTGGTCGATGCGATCGTGCTGCATGCCAAGCGCGACCAAACCAAGAAGATTTATCTGTAAGTTTAAAGTTAAGTTTTGAGTGCATTTGGCGATTGCTCAATTATGGCGATTGTTTAAATATGGCGATCGCTCAAGTTTCATAAACCCATCAAGACAACGGTAGCAACAGCACAAATGTACTGTGGCAGATTTTACTTACTAAGCATGGAAAAACTGTTCAGCAAAAGATCTCATTGTTACCCATCGGTGGCTTCTCACACTCGCGTTTCTCCTCATATTTCTTTCTCTTCGTTCCGTTCTCATGCCATCTATGTCGCCCCCTTCCGCCAATTGTGACCACAAACTACGCAGCTTGACGCCTGAGGAAAGGTCTGAAGCCATGCAGCAGCCCGAATTCTCGATAGATAGCAACACCATTGTGGAAGTGAGCTTACGGCTAGAGCGTTTCGTGATATGTGTGGCCGCCGCTCTAGCCGCATCCGGAGCCTTCCTATTCCTAATGTCCAAGGAAATTACTCTTAAGGTCTTAGAAGGAAGCGGTGAAGAGTTATCTAGGGAGGTGAAAGACGTTGTGGAAAACTACAAGTCTGTATCCGCTTACCTTCAGATCACAGCAAGTACAATTTTTGCTGTCTTCTGCGAGACGCTCATTTTCCCCACTTTAGCCACATATCTACACAATTGTAGCTTGTTTCCTGGCGACCAACCTGCTCGAGTGCACTCCGTGTTAAAGGAACGTGGCATTTTCTGGGGACTCAAGATGATCATCATCATTATGAATATCGGTTTCACTAGTGTCAACATAAACACCAACAGAGAATCTCCTTCAAGACGCCTTACTAGTTTCGACGAAGTGGATGGGATACTGATGCAAGTAGAAACGCCGTGGACTCTAGACTCTGACACTGACGTGCTTCACTCAGTCCTGCAAACGTCCATAACCGGAACTACAACTCCATTCACGTTCGAAGTTACCTGCAAATGGTCAGAACACAATAAGGACGACGCAGCACAGCAGTGGGGAGCGTGGGTCGACGACGTGGACACCACTTCCGTGAGCTTCAGCTTCCAATCGCACGCATGGAACGCTGCTCTACTTTCATCTCAAGGAACGGTGCCAACCAGGTCAGTGGAGATTCCGCTACGAGGCTACCTGGCCAGCAGTGACAAGTATGCGATCACCGACGACTGGGATGTTCCAGAGCTGTACTCGACCTTCAACCAGGGCATGACCAGATTGGGTCTAGCGAACGATCCAGTCGATGGAGCAACTCCCCAGTCATTCGACGAGCTGATTCGTGTGGTTGCGAGTGACCTGAAGACAGCGCTTCCCGATAACAACCGTGTTGGTGATCTAGTGTTACGCCTGGAGCACCGTGAACTGGCTGAGGACGTGCAGTTTACAAGTCTGACAATGTCAGTCCCGGTTGAGGCGGACATCACGGGATCTACACTGTGTGGAGCCTCTGGTTGTGTCTACGCCACGTCAACAACCGCCTTGGACCAACTTCACCTGCAGCCGGCCGTGTCTATCGCCTCGTACGAGAAGGACGCGGCGTCCGCCTTAGTCTACAGTAGTACCAATCAGTTTGTGCAGGAAGTGAAGGGAGCTCAAACTCCACACGAGGTGCTGACACTGTCGGTGGGCAAGATAACGTGGCAGCTGAGTCCGCTGCATATTCGACATGACGCCGCCTGTGCAGATGACGACGACGGGTGTCTCGGTCTGAGCCTGCCCTTCGCCACAGGCGACGGTGTTCTGTTGGTCGGTAAAGAAGCGCTAGCCACACAGCACTTGGCACACCCAGTGGCCCTTGTGACGCTGCATCCAGCCACAATACCAGATATGACTCGGCCGGACATCGATGCTCTCACGTCGTGGCATCGGCTGGTATCATCAAACGGCATGCTGGTGCGTCCAAGCTCGTCTGGATGTAAGTCGCTGGTGGATGCGTACCTGGCTCACCTCCAAGCAAACCATTTCTACCTAGACGATCAACTATCTCTGGATATGTACTCGACAGCTCTGTTTTACTTAGTTCAGCGCGGAGTACCGACGTCGTTTGCAGATGCCGTGTCACGACGACGTCTCGCTTTATCGGCTGCGATGGCCTCGAGTGGCTCTGGTTCCGGCAACGTCACAAGTGTTCGTGCTACGACGGACATCGAAGTGAACGTTCCTACGGCGACGGCTTTGGTGACGATGGCTGGATGTATTTTCATCGTGCTGCTGATGCTGTGTGTCATTTATCTGCCGACGCCGCGTGTTAAGCTTTCACCAGACACGACACCGGCCGCTCAGTACGTGCAGGTCCTGACGGACGACTTGTACCCGGACTTGGTGCACAAGAAGCGGTTGCGATTCGTGAACGGTGATTGTCTCCTGTTTAACGAGTACGTGGTCGATGCGATCGTGCTGCATGCCAAGCGCGACCAAACCAAGAAGATTTATCTGTAAGTTGAAGTGAGCTAAGTCGTTTTTATTACCGAATCTACCCGAATAGAAGCCCTTAAGCTGAGGAAAAAGAATAAAATGGCAACGTCAAGCGACAGGAGGGCGACGCCACTTCAGCCTACGCCGCTCGTAATTGTGAACCTGGCTCTGCGTGATACGGCATATCTCTCTAATCTTCCGCATGTATTGCACCTCGTGTCGACCTTCATGGACGACACAGTGAACATCCCGCTGCACAAAGCATGTGCCATTGGATCACTGGCGCCCTTGATCGCATCTGGATTTACAGCCAAACCCCTCGTTGCGAAGATTGGCGATGGTGTCCTGCTGCATCACTGCAGACTAATCGCCATTACAAGCGGTGGCAATTCTCGCAGTCATTAATCCAGGCCCGACGCCGAGAGTTGGCGATGGTCGATTGGATTTTTAGTCGTTTTTCGCATTGCGTGAGTCAGGTGGAAGTGGTGGAGGAAGCAGCATCAACGGGTCAATTGGAGATGCTGAAGCTTCTGCTGGACAAGGACAGCGGTCGAATGAAGAAGTACGAGGCTGGTGCTGACAAACGGTGACGACCATCGAGTTATGGAGCAGACCAATGGCGTTACTTGGGGCGGCAACGATATGCTACTGGCTGCGAGAAATGGGCACGGTGCTATTGTTCGCTGGCTGTACGAACAAACCGGTTTTGCGCACCGTGGCCATAGTACTGTGCTATAGCATTCTGTTTTGTCCGGGGATCTATCGCTGGTCTAGTTGGCTGATTTCGCGTGGCTTCCAAGTGCAACATGGGAAATTCCTGGTCGACTGCGCTGCTGAAAAAGGCCATTTACCGCTACTTGAGTGGCTTGTCGAACAAGGACATGCGGGTAACGAGCGTTGGATATAATTTCCGAGCAAACACTTAGAAGTTATCAAGTGGCTAGACGAATCGGGTCTAGGAACCGGTGCTGATGAAGCTTTCGTGGCAGCCTGCGATGATGGTCCGCTACCCGTTGTGTGGTGGCTAGCAGAGCACGCGTCAGTGAAGGGCATAGTCATTAAACCAGAATCAGCTCAGATCGCACTCGGGTCTGCTGCCGGTGCCGGGCGTCTGGAGGTGGTTCAGTGGCTTCTTAACCGCAATGTCGGAAAAAAAGCACGTATGCTATAGGCGCTGCTGCTTTGAATGGGCATTTGGAGGCTGCCAAATACCTCTATTCGCAAGGCTTGTCCGGATGCCAGCGTGAAGCCTTCAAGATTGCTGCCAAGAACGGGCACCTCGACGTCGTTCAATGGTTGTGGTCGGAGTTTAAGGATGATCCAAACGCGGATCTGCTGTGTGTATACGGCACGAGAGAATTTGTGCCGCGAGCACCCCCATTAACGCGTGAAATGAGTGAAGCGGCTAGTAATGGACATCTGGCAGTGATTCAGTACCTTCACAACATTGCGCTATCACTTGCTGGGAAAAAGAGAAAGCGTGGAGAAGAGTCACGGCACTCCAGTGTCATTACTATGGAATCCACGGTAGTCGAAGCTGCTAGAAATGGTCATTTGGATGTCGTGCAGTGGGTTTGCACTCACACAGATGTCGAATCGACCGAGGATGCCATGGCTTGTGCTGCGAGTGGGGGCCATTTTCGAGTAATTGAGTGAAACCGATCGGAACACATCGGAACTGACGTGATAGATGAAGCAGCAGGATTCGGAGACTTGTCTGTGCTGAAATGGCTACTTGCCAATCAACAAGAGGAAGGGTGGTCAACCTATGCGCTCGATTGTGCAGCTCGTGGAGGCCACTTATCCGTTCTTCGGTGGCTGGTTGACCACTCAGAGTCATACCATGACTACTACGATGATTGCGATCCGATTATGAATACTATTCAACTAGCTCTGAAGGGTAACCATTTTGACTCACTTCTTTTCGTGTACAAGGAGTGCAATGACTGGAGCAGCGAGACCATTCTGCTGTATGACAATGTCTTCTGCAATGAGCACATCGAAGCATGGCTTCACGACGTAGGAGATGGACCCGAATTCGACTACATGTAGAACGCTGCTACTTGAAGTATTTGACAATAGCCAGCTAAACCTATGAATGGCTCAATTCATTGCATAATAAAATTACATGGAAGTAAGTTTAGGAATATTGGAAGAACCTTGTTCTCGCAGAATGTAAATAAATACTAACTGAAGTAGTAATTCGCCTCAAATTTTAGGCCGTGGCTAAAACCAACTGTAATCGTTATTAAAGAGCTGGAATGTCTCAACCAGCTAAGAAACCCAAACGACTGGTTTCAAAATTCAGCTGTGGGTTGAATTTTGATTCGTCCTCCTTTGCGCCTTTAAACAGTATATCAAACCAGCCTTTTTCTGATGGAACACGATCACTTATTTATTTTACTTAGCAAAACGACTGTTCTACAGCTCTAGCTTATTTTCAAACAAGCTGGATTTGCCCCTGCAAACCAAACACGGCCTTAAAGAGCTTTTAGCTCAATTCGCTATTATCAGCTGGTGGTTCAGTACAAGCAGTGCTGGGTAAAAATGTATTTCAAGTATTGGCATTGATCAGTACTGCCATACTGCAAGCATTTACAATACATGTACTGCAATACATACTGCT